GCAAATTTCCCACAAAAGAGAAATTATGAATATTAATTAAATTACCTTGAACTGGCATTTTAGTATTCTGCTTCACCGACAAATTTTCAGCAGAACTAATAATATCTAGAGAAATAAGGAGAATAAAGAGATACCGAGAATGGCCCGAGGACGCACCTTTTCTAGGTTCTTCAAAAAAACTCTAGCATATCCCCTGAAAGTAAGGATGCAATTAAAAAATTACCTGTAGGCATGGGGAGCGTACGTGCATTCTGTCGAAAAGTAGTCCAATTTTCTAGTTCTGGCATACCTATATGTGGTTACAAGTGCAATAATCGTACATAACGATTTCTTTTTCATAAGCATATTTAAAAGGTTTAAACCGCATAATTAGACCATCTGAAGCCTAGTAGATAAAATGTATGAGAGATTTACAGTGATAACAGATGTACAACGTTGTAACCGACCAATGTCGCCTCTTAACGCTACAAATTTTTTGTAAAAATATAAAATCACAGAGGAGCATAATATACATTATCTAAGTTAATTCGGTAAGTTCAATTACTGTTCATCAAGACAGTCTCGGCGGTATCATCGGCATTATGACCAGTGCATATTTTGTTGGCCCCGAGTAGAATCGCTCCTCGTTCAAGGGCCTGCCGACGAAAAACTCCACAAAATGTGCCTAATATTAATAAGCCTAAGCATATGTACAATTTCTTTTCGTCCCAATTTTTCTGACGATATCGTCCATTGACCATCCGTACAGATCCTACTAGAAATAAATAGACATGTTAATACCTTGTATGATAGGATGGTTAGAGGCAAGTTATATTGGAGCCTATTTCTCTTAACCGTCTAAAACTTGGAAACTAAAATGAAATACCTCAAGAGAGTCATTACGATAACCAGATATACCTTCGTCTATTGATAGAAGAATTAGTTTTGCACCATAGTTGTGACGTTCGTTCAAAAGTTTACTAACATATGCAAGTACAGTAGAATCTAAAAGCAGTAAGAGT